CCCCAAAACCCCAAAACCCCAAAACCCCAAAACCCCTGATTTTGTAAGTTTAATTGACATTAGTCTGGTTTTAATTTCTGTGTATATCAAGTTCCTCCCACCCACTTTTCTTTTGCTCTGTCGAATGTTTATCGATATCTTTCCTACCATTTGTCTCCTTTACGTCACTAGTGAGTCTGACAACAGCTCTAAGTTTAAAATATCAATAGCTTACTCAACATCGCTCATACGAGCCACTTTGCTAAGGGTTCTTCTGGCAACTAAACTACTCCGTCTTTGCTCCATGATTTTATCTGCCTCACTTTGTGCAATCTTGTAAACATAATAAGCAACTCCTAATACAATTATGACGCTGATTATTATAACAATAAGCTCTATAACTGCTCCTGTAGATGCTTCCTCGATTCCACTTGAAATCTTAGAGATGCTGCATCAAATGTAGATGTAAGGACCATCACAGAAGATTATAGCTAAATTGCCAATACAGTAATCAAAAACTGACATATCTGTTATCCCGCATACAATATTGAAGACTACATATGGAGTGAGTGCTCATCACCTCATTAAGGCAACTAGTTTCTTCGCGTTCTTAGATAATGCTCTCCCCAGAGCCATCATTTTAGGCTTATCGGAGGTGTAGTCCTTTACTCATGATTTGAGGAGATACCTGGCAAAAAGGAAGGGTGGGACTCATCCTATGAGCATTGAAAAATAGTCGACTACAATCATTACCAGAAGTCCCTTCAAGAAACCAAAGGCTTGAACAAAGAGATAAGAGCCTGATACTTGAGGAATAGCGGATGGTACAGAAGCTGATATCATTAATGTCATCAATAAGAAATATATTAAAATTGTTTTCGTTGGGTGCTCTTTGATTATTTCCATGAAATCGCTCATCTTTTCTATAATGTCTTCTCTAAATACGATTACTAGTATTATTATAGTAGCCATTCACAGAAGAAGAATAGAACTGATTATGGTCTTCCTGACATCACATTCATGCTCGTAAGCTTCCTTTATAGATATATTATGCATCTCAGAGAGGTTATCCAGGTATTGCTGGTCATCTTCATCATGCATCTGTTTATAAGGTGTAAATGCATCTTTATCATTTCCTCCTAGCGTCTTTGAATGGCCTGACCTGAACTTGTCTTCATTTATTAATGAGTTACTTGCGTTGTTCATGCTTCTACGGAGATTCATATTTTTCTTCCCTTGGAAAGACATTTTAGAAATTCAATTTAAAATTCTTCCTTGGGGTTTTGGGGTTTTGGGGTTTTGGGGTTTTGGGG